TTCTGAAAGCCCTCCATTTTCATCTTTACGTTGATACATCCAGCGTCGGAGTTCGTATATATCCCCAATTTTTTTTCTAAATTTTGTTAAAAAAATTTTTTTTTCGAATTTTTTTTTTTTAAAATGGTGGACTGATTCAGGCGATGCGGGGGGTTGAGTATATATAGGAGAATTTAGCAGCGATTTAGCAACGATTTTGCATCNAATATTTNGCANCNANTTNGCGTCGAATACCTTAGTGTCGATTTTGCATCGAATTAGCGTCGATTTTGCACCCAGGTAGGTAAACTCGTTTTTAATGTGTCTCCTACCTACCAATTTGAGGCAAATTCGACGCTATATTCGACGCTACGTGATCGACGCTAAATCGATGCAACATTAGCATCGATTTAGCGTCGAATTCAGTCTTAAACTGGAATTCCGACGCTAATTCGATGCTAATTTGCGTCGATTTAGCGTCGAATTGATTCGACCCTACTTAGCGTCGAATTAGCGTCGAATATTTAGACTGACACAACTTCGACGCAATTTCGACGCTATATTAGCGTCGAAAAAATTCCGACGCTAAATCACAGTTTTCTTGTAGTGAAAATTTGTTTTGGTGTTATTTATAAGAATTTTCTAGCTTTTTAATGTGGTTCCTAATAAAAATAATTTGTTGTTGGAATTTTGATCAATATTTCGCATGGGTTTTAGACCGATCACCCATCAACTGATTTAAATAATTTTGTGGCAAACATGAGTTTAGGTACGGTTGTAGTCTAATTATTTCATAATAATAAAATATAAAAATAAAAAATATTAAAGATGAGAGCTTTATCGAATCTAAAAGGGCAATTTGGTTTTCAAAAGTAATACATAAAAAAAAAATCAAACATTCATAACTAAAACCATAAACTAGTTTGTCTAGTCCTCTTCCTCTTTAATTTTGTTTTTGGTCCCCTTCCTCTTATTAGATAAGAAGTTGGCCTCCTACGGCGTCTTCTTTTTGATTTTTGATTTCTACAGGTTCTTTAGGCTGCATAGAGTGTTTTTTGATAATACTGTTTAAAAAAAAACATTTTTTAGGCGTACATAAAACACAAATGACCTGAAAATGATGCAAGAACAATACTTTCACTATATGCTTGTGATAAAAAAAGAAACAGATGCATATCATAAGAAGACTTGTAATGATCACATAAACCAAATATTATTGGTCCAATTTTGTATCTTTGAAGTGCTTTTATTGTAATCTTCCACTATTCCAAGTAAAGACCGAGGCTGAAACCAATTTTATGAACATTGTTCTATTGAAGTCACCAATCTCGCTTCATTTGATCACAAGCTGTTAGAACATTTTGAAGTACCAATAAAAATAAACAATATTTTTATAATGTGCAGTGAAAAACTTGTAACAATCAAACTTCGAAGTTTGAGAATTAGTCTAGCTTTAGAGCTTTTACCTGTTGGCCAGCCCGTTTGTATACGTTTAAAGCTATACATGCAACATGTCTTTGACATATTAAAAAATGAATTAAGAACAGCTACTTTACTAATATTCAATAGAAAGCAAATTGATATTAAACCTACAAAGGAGATTTTAATACACAAACCTCGCCAACAAAAATTAATGATGGATACAATATATAGGCTGCTATATATAGGCTTCAAGGAGTAAAACTGAAGAAAATATGAAGAATAAAATTTCACGTTGAAGGTACGCAACACAATACCAAAAAGAAAGATCAAGATGTTAATAGACACAACTAAATAAACAATTCTAAGACTGAGAGACCCAATAATTATCCAAATTCTAAAAACACAACAAAATTCGCTAAAAACCAATAAAAAAAAAACACACACACACAACAACAAATTCAATGTATAAAAAACTAAACACCAAAGTCGATGGAATCAACTTGCTGATATAAACTTAACTTTGACGTCTCGATCGGTGTTAATCTCATTGAAACGATGCTACTGTACTTAAAAAATCAAAATAAAGCGGCTTGATCAAGATTATAAAGCGATATATAGGTTTAACACGATTTAACAAAAAAAATATTGAATCAAATATGTACGTGGAATGAGGGAAATAGTGGATTGGAAACAGAGTGAGGAAAACCGACACCCTACGCATAAGAGTTATCTTAAATCTCAAACCTAAAACGTCTAAGCTCGTTAAAGAACCCAACTCGTACGATACCTACAAAAACAAACAAAACCCAAAAAAATTAGAATCGTCAACGAACAAAAAACTAATAAAAACACCAATAAAAGGAGGCGATTCTAAATTATGAGAAGGAGGAGAATAAGGTCGAGATATATAGTTTATAATAGAGGTAGGGTTCTGCTAGAAGCATATGCATATATAGGGTTTCACTTATATATGATAATATTTCATCGAATAAACAAAATAAAGAATATTTCCTATATAGATAAAATAATAATGGAAGATTGCTATTAAATTTCGAGTATATCCAAAGATAAACATATTTTTATTTAAAATATATAGGCCAAACGAAAATTAATCCAAAACAAATAAAAATTAGGCTCAAATCCAATTAGCATAAATCAATCGAAATAATAGAATTTTGGTTAAAAAAAAAAATTTGATGGCAAGGGTGTTCTTGTAATCAACCACCTTCAAATTAATTAGAGAATGTCACATATGATTTTTTACTTCGATGATATAGATTGGATAATAATATAGTTATTGGTAAAACTTAAAACAAAAGAAATCGCAACCCAAAAACGAGACAACAAAACAACGCCTTAGGTCTGAAATCTAACGTTCACGTTTCACTAATATAAATTCTTAAATTTTGAATGGTTTAAGCAAATTGTAGAGGACGAAACAAACCAAACAATGATTAGAGATTCATTCTACAGTGAACCAATACTATTTCCCGAGTAAAGTGTTCCTAACTCATGGTCTTAAAGGGTTCGATCAGCAACTACTGGACTCTCAAGGAAAAACAAGATAACACATGGTTAGCTAATAAGCTAATTCGAATGAGGGACTTAGTTTTTGATTGGATAAAGCTCAGAGTAGAGAATGGTACCTCTTGTCGGTTCTGGATTGACAATTGGTCACCATTTGGTAGCATGTCCTCCTTCCTAGCAAACAACAACAATTGCAGAATGGGAATCCCACTACTCTCGTCACTGAGTGACCTTTACTTGAATGGAAGATGGAATCTACCGCCTGCAAGATCAGATAACCAAGTTTCACTACAAGCTCATCTCACAACTATTAGCCTTTCGGATCATGATGATTACTATGAATGGGAGATTGATGGAAGGATTGAAAGTAGGTTCAACACGGGCATGGTTTACAGTAAGCTAGTTAATCAATTACCTTTGGTGAACTGGTCCGATGCTATCTGGATCAAAGGAGGGATTCCGAGACAGAGTTTCCTATGTTGGCTTTTTGTTTTGAATCTATGTCCTACAAAGGACATAATTCTTGGATGGGGCCTCCAAACGGATCCAAACTGCGTGTTGTGTACAAATCAATTGGAGAGTAGGGATCACCTCTTCTTTTCCTGCAGATTTACTTGGTCAATTTGGAGCCGAGTGGCGGCTTGATCACAAACTCAAGCTCATACGGATTGGGCTTCGACTATCACAACCATGCAAACACTAAGAGGACAAAAGAGAATACAAGACTCTCCCTCCTTGCTTGGCAGACAACGATTTTACAATATTTGGGTAGAACGGAACAGACGACTTCACCGGCAAACTTTCCGATCCTCGGATTCGATATTGCACATTATTGATTCATTAATCAGGACCAAGATCTCTGGCTTCAGAGAAACAAACCCAAAACTTTGTACCCTCATGATGCAGAGATGGTTGGGGAGTAATTGAGCTGACAGTGGAACAACACAACTTCCTCTTCTTCGGATCGTCCCGGAGGTTGAAAGACGCATCGCCTTCCATCGACAAACTTGTAATCGGTTCAAAATTGGGTTTCTAATTGTATTTTATTTTCTGGGCCTCTCTGATTGCTTACTGGGCTTCCAAACCAACACTAGTTCTTCATGGACTTGTACTTTTTCAGTGTTTATGCATTAAATAGAAAGCCCTTTGTTTCAGAAAAAACAAAATGTGTTCCTAAGATTCTATTTTGGCAAGAGAAAACAAAAAAATAATATAGTTTTCCACACTTCTTCACAAAGAGGTTATGTTGAATGAGCTACGATTTTTGGACGCTCCAATAAAAATCCATGAACTAAGCATGCCTACATCATATCATTTATGTAGAAACAAAGAGCGAACAACCATTCTATTGGGTCAAACTGGATTCGCAAAAAAAAAACGGTAAACGATAGAAAAAATGATAAAATAAAAAGACCATCATATGATAAGAAGATAACTAACAACAAAGGCAAAAAAAAGAGCCCTACCAAACCGAAGCTCCTCAACTGACATAGCTAAATCACCCCAAAAACTCTAAAATAGAGGCGATGAAAGTCCGACAGAAGAAATATGATTGTGGAATGATATAAAAATAAGAGAAGCGATTCAAAAAAAATTATAATACAAAGATAATAGTTCTTAGACATCAACATACATATCATCAGGGGCGGCTAAAAAAAGGCCAAAATTTTTTTAGGTCCTGTGCAAAAATTTTAACTTTTTTTAAAAAATGGTCTATATTTGATAAAATCTAAAATTTTGGGCCCTTTTATATATAATTTTAATAATTTTTGGGCCATAAATTACAATAAAATTAACTAAAAAATGGGTCATGTGCGGTTGCACACCTTGCACACCCTCAGAACCTCCCCTGCATATCATCAAGAATCATAATACAAAATTTATCCTATATGGTTGTACCCCGTTAAATTTTTGTTTGAGAAAAAAAAATCATATAGAATTGTTTCAAGTTATATTAAAATTTAGTTATAAAATTTCTTATATTCTTACAAGTTTATAATACTAAATTTTAAATATATTTAACCTATGATTGGTCAAATAAGTTAATTTTTTTAAAACAATATCAAATCTTAACCTATTTATAAGATATTGTTTAAAATGTTAGTATCTTTTAATAGCAATTAATAAACCATTTTGAATAGACTAAGAAAACTTTAAATACTAAAGTTATG